TTAAATTTTTCGAAAATAATCAAGGGAAGTTAGTGACCATAATTATAATTTTATTTTTAAAATTTTAAGTCCCTCTTACAGTTTTAAATCAATTTTTTGCTTCTAAAAATTATACTATTCTATTATTATTTAATAATTATAATTATTGAACTTCTCTTAAATTTTTATCATTTTAAATTTCTGAATGTTCAAATAAATGATATTTATTTATTTCTTGAGCAAATTAAATGTTTATTAGATATTAAGTAAATAATTAATTATTGCTGCTTATTATTTTCAAAAAATTTAATAAAATTCTTCACAAAAATTAAATTATTTTCATAAATAATAGCATTCTTTGGAAGGATTCAATTATTTTTATAAATAGTAAAATTCTTTGCAGAAGTTCAATTATTATCAATGTAATTTTAATAAAATTGAAAAATCCAATTTTCAATTATAATTATAAAGAGACAAGATTATTTTTAAAAACTTGAAAAAATCATTATTTTCAGAAAATTTAATGATTTATTTATGTTTAAAATCAAATTTAAATTTACATTTGATAAGAAAAAAAACCGGGAAAAAATTAGGATATATCCGGGAAAAACCGGGAAATAACCGGGAATTTTGTTAAACGAAAATAGTAGACACCCTGATGACAGCTTGGTTATCAAAACAAAAAGAAAATCGTTTTTTGTTCGTTTCTCGGATCGTGTTGCTCGAATGAAACACTACTGTAAGTGTAATTTTTAACTGACTTTTAGTAAAATTATTTGTTTGACAGAAATTTACAATATTAATAAATAAATCACAATAAAATAATAATCAGTGAAGAATGACTGATATTTTAGTACTTTTCAACTGATTTTCAGTAAAATTCCACTGATTATGAATCCAAAGTCACTTTTTAAAAATACAAAATGGCGAATCCAGGATAGCGGACGAAAATGAAAGGTTTAGTAAGAGAATACGTAAAAATAACATTTCGTATAATGTACAATGACATTTTTTGTAAATGTCACTTCATAATTTTTGTCTTATTACACAATGATTTTAAATAAAATAATTTATATTTTTATAAATATTAATAATTTTTTACATTTTCTAACCACTATAAGGTTTTAATTTTGTAAATGTTCAAATTCTGGTTTAGAAAGAAAAATTTATATTATTATACAACTATATTGTCTAGACTTGCAAAAACCCAAAGTCTAGACTTTGTTGTAACAATATTGTTACAATATATATTGTAACAATATTGGTGACGGTGACATGCGTAAGAATAGTGCAGTAAAAATTTCAAAAAAACACCCTGATCATTACCTACAGAAAATCCTATTAGTAAGAAAAGAATGGACGTATCTTCGCCCTTTTCTTACTAATTATTCAGAGAATCAGGCTAACATTCAAAATCTAACCTTCTAAGTTTAGTTATTTCAAAAAAATTATTTTATTGATGCAAATAAATATTTATTTTAATTAAAAACTATGCATTATTTAATCAAGTAATTTTTATAATTGATTTAAAGCAATATTTATTAAATTAAATTATTCTATTTAATTGACTTAAGTAATTTGTATTTGGTTCAAATAACTATTTAATAGATACCATAAATTAAAATATTTATGTCCAGTAAATATTTACTTAGTTCAAATAAAAAAAAAAAATAAGTAAAAACTAAAAAGTTTAAATACAACCGAACGAGCGTTAGCGAGTGAGGTATATGTTGCTAGTTTAATAAATAAAGTATTTTCCAAAAGCACAAAAATAATAAAGCTAAATCCCATAAAAGAGAGGAAAAAATGTTGAATTTTAAGAAAAACGGATTTTTGAATTTTTTCGAATTTTTGATAATTTTAGATTTTTTACCAAAGAGTCGAGACAATTTAATAAGTAAAGTATTTTCCAAAAGCACAAAAAAAATGAAGCTAAATCCCGTAAAAGAAAAGAAAAAATGTTGAATTTTAAGAAAATCGGACTTTTGAATTTTTTCGAATTTTTGATAATTATAGATTTTTTACCAAAGAGTCGAGACAATTTAATAAGTAAAGTATTTTCCAAAAGCACAAAAATAATGAAGCTAAATCCCATAAAAAAGAAGAAAAAATGTTGAATTTTAAGAAAATCGGATTTTTGAATTTTTTCGAATTTTTGATAATTTTAGATTTTTTACCAAAGAGTCGAGACAATTTAATAAGTAAAGTAGTTTCCAAAAGCACAAAAATAATGAAGCTAAATCCCATAAAAGAGAAGAAAAAATGTTGAATTTTAAGAAATTCGGATTTTTGAATTTTTCGAATTTTTGATAATTTTAGATTTTTTACCAAAGAGTCGAGACAATAAAATAAGTAAAGTATTTTCCAAAAGCACAAAAATAATGAAGCTAAATCCCGTAAAAGAGAAGAAAAAATGTTGAATTTTAAGAAAATCGGATTTTTGAATTTTTCGAATTTTTGATAATTTTAGATTTTTTACCAAAGAGTCGAGACAATTTCATAAGTAAAGTATTTTCCAAAAGCACAAAAATAATGAAGCTAAATCCCATAAAAGAGAAGAAAAAATGTTGAATTTTAAGAAAATCAAATTTTTGAATTTTTTCGAATTTTTGATAATTTTAGATTTTTTACCAAAGAGTCGAGACTATTAAATATGTAAAGTATTTTCCAAAAGCACAAAAATAATGAAGCTAAATCCCATAAAAGAGAAGAAAAAATGTTGAATTTTAAGAAAATCGGATTTTTGAATTTTTTCGAATTTTTCATAATTTTAGATTTTTTACCAAAGAGTCGAGACAATAAAATAAGTAAAGTATTTTCCAAAAGCACAAAAATAATGATGCTAAATTCTATAAAAGAGAGGAAAAAATGTTGAATTTTAAGAAATTCGGATTTTTGAATTTTTTGAATTTTTGATAATTTTAGATTTTTTACCAAAGAGTCGAGACAATTAAATAAGTTTAAGTATTTTTTAAAAGCACAAAAATAATGAAGCTAAATCCTATAAAAGAGAGGAAAAAATGTTGAATTTTAAGAAAAACGGATTTTTGAAATTTTTTGAATTTTCGATAATTTTAGATTTTTTACCAAAGAGTCGAGACAATTTAATAAGTAAAGTATTTTCCACATTAAAAAGTTTGACATTAAAAAATATATAAAAAATGCCAATACTTAACCCACAAAATTAAATTTTCAAAACAAACAAATGAATGCAGATAATTTGCTAACGGAAAGGAAACTTACGATTATTATAATGTATGTGTATGTATATGTATATGTATATTTCTATTTTGTATCAAAACGTATAAAAAACAAAAGAATAACTATAACTAACTTCAAGTGTGGACAGAGATCCGGAAATCTGGAATCACGACGATTATTATATATAATTACAAAAACACATACAAAAACGTTTTTTGAAGTACCTGTCCTTCAGGGTCGTTGGAAGATACCCCCCGCAAGGATCTGACTATTTAGCGTTGTGTGAGAGGTTTGGTTTTGTTACCCCTGAAGAACGTAGAATCATAGCTGCCACGATGTTTATTTTCAAAGTCCTGAATTCCCAAATAGATGCTCCGTCGCTCCTGAACTTAATAAATTTTAGAGTACCCAGATTGGGATCACGACACACGGCTCCTTTCTATCTAAATACTAAAACGTCTTTTTCCGGCTCTACTATACCCATTTTTTATGCATGTTATCAAATTAATAATGTATTTAATACCATGAAACCAAATTTGGATCTGTTTCATAGCACCAGAAATCAATTTATTTTGACGATCAATGCCTATGTAATGAAACTTCGTAATCAACAAATTTGTTAAGCTACTTTAATTCAGTTTTGTATATAGTAACCCATTTATGGTCCCCATGGACTGCGGGTAATAAGTGTAAATAAATAAATAAATAAATAAATAATTATAATATTAGACCCCTGACGGATTTATATCAAAAAAGCATTGGTATGCTTTACTGGATATGTTGCACCAGGATTCCTATGCTTTGAAAGTCAATTTTAAACTTCGGAAAGAGCACATTGATCCGAAATATTATCAAAAGTTGAACGTTGCTTTGGCGTTTCAGGTATTTTGATAATTAAGTGTTTATAATATAGTACTAATCTTTTTATTGAATTAATCTTTATAGATTTATAAACAGTTTTTCAGTATTCATGATGCACTCGAGATTTATGAAAATCGATGTGTAGATTTAGAAGATTGCACTGCTACGAAAACTTTCTGTAAAAGGGTCAGTCAATTAAATAATGCCATGAATAGTCGTACACCTGCAAGTGCAATGTCACCCGGTAACGAACAATGGAATGTAAGTTGATTTTTTTTAAATCATGCCATTTACTCTTTGTTGAGTTTTACATGTTTTATTATCATTTTAGATTGTCAAAAATTTTATCAATTATCTTGAAGAGTGGGAGGAAATTGCTAAATCGAAAAATACCAAAAACATTTTGACAGGCAATTGCTTATATGGGCTAAAAATTTCACTTCAAGCTACTTTAGAAATTTGTCAGTTTTTAATTGACAAATGTAATTATTTAAGAGTCAGCCCAAATCCTTCTCGAACATGATTACTCATTGTCCGAAGCATCAGAATATGCTTTGACGTATGTCACGGGATATGTTAGTAGGAAAGGATCACGGTTTGCTAGATTCTCTGTAAATAATAAGCCTTCTCTTTGTCAAGCTTGCGTAGATAGTTTGACCTTATCTAAAAATGACATCATTCCTGAAAAGCATAAATTGATAGAGATGAAATTGAAAGGGAATTTAAAACACATTTTTAAACACATTTTTTTTTTTTTTATTTTTTTTAAACACATTTTTTTTTTTTTTTTAACACATTTATTTCGGTACTTGAAATATCAATTTTACAGACCATTTACGAAAAAGGGATAGAAAAAAACACTTTGCAAAAAATATCCGAAACCCTAGAAACATTTTCTTCGATATATTTTATTGTATGCAGCGAGCATGAAATGCTTTTAACAAGAAGAATAGTAATTTTTAACTTGACAATAAGAATGCTTTTCGTGTGCAAGGAATATAATAAGATTCATAATGAATTAAAAGAAAAAAGCAGAGAAAAATGAAAAGCGCAAAATTATCTACTAAATCAAGCAGTAGACACTTGTACGTAAACACTTGTACGCACAATTTAATTGTTTATAATTTCACATTTATAGGATGTAATAGTATTAAAATAAAAATACAAAATAAAATCGACAAATGACGCAAATCACATGTAAGCACTGTTGTAAAAAAGGTTGGGTCTATAGAGATGGGTAATTACACGTAACTTGAAATATTAATAATAAATGTAATAATAATAATAATACTAACAGAAATAATAATAGTATATTTAATAAATTTTTAGGAAAGTTTCGGTGCTGTGGGGGTATATATATATGTATATATTGTTGCTTTGACATTTTTTTTACAAGAACATTTCACAAAACCTTGGCCTGTTCCTAATGAGTGTTTAGTAGCGACCGTCCTAAGTGAAACCTCTTTTTCTTTTTGTCTATCTTCGATATTTAACATTTTTGTTCTGCAAGGAGAAAACTGCGACCTGAAATAAAATAAAAATTTTATAACTCAAGTGAAATAATTTTTACTAGAATAATAGAATTTCACTTATTTTATTAATGCAATCCAATTTACCTGCTATATAATTGTTTTAATATGCCATTTCTTGTTCCCAAACGATAAAATCCATCATCCGCAACTTCCATGACCAAAGCTAATATATTTCGAGCGTCTCCGCGACCTTTATCAACATCTGGAATAGGAACTAGAACCGTTAATCCTTTTTCAACTGGAGGAAATTTTTTATCAGACAAATTTTTCATTTTTTCTGCCTGCTGGCTAAGGTTTTCTACGAATTTTTTACGTTGAATCACCGCATTTTTTGTTCTATCACATAATATGCATAAAACACTTGCTCCATATCCTTCAATACCGTCATTGCTTACACCACAAATTACATGGACATAGCAGTTGCATTCTGAACACCGATGTGCTCCACCAGTGTCTTTTAAGCACATTACACATTTCATTTCTGGTAAAATGTATTTATCGCTGATATTTTCATTGCAGATATTTTCATTGTTATTAACTCCAGTAGATACTGATTCTAAAATACCTTTCAATTCTTCTTCACTTAAAATATTTTCTAGTGCGTCAGGGGTTAATCCAAAAAAAACATTTTATTTTTTACTATATTTTTTTTATTTCATTCATTTTTATTTATTAATAACACATAATAAATACACTTTCGAAATTCAAGAAAAAACTGTTTCAATTTTTTAAAATATTTTTTTTACATATTTATAAATAATTATTGAAAAATATTTTTAAAAAATCGTATGGTATGCGCTACAAACGCATAATTATCTAATTATTTTTAAATAAAGAAAATATTAGAAAAAATTAAAACAGTTTTTTTGCACTTCAAGAATGTATTTGTTATGAGTAATACCTCACATGATGAAACAAGAGAGTATAATTTCAAGAAAGGATATCCATCAGATTCTGGAAACTAATCGTGGGTGTATGCTTGAATAATAATATTAATATTAAAAACTAAAATTTAATAATAATAATAAAACCTATACAATACTTATACCAAATATTGATGATGTGCGAATGTCTCGTAATGATTTGGAATTCAAGATGTGTAATTTCAAATGAAATTTGTTCAGATTTGAAATCTGGGGTGAACTATAATGAAAGAAAATATTCAGATTAAAGAAAACTTTAAATGCCCACAAATATATTATAATAGTAAAGATGCTCAATGCTATTCATATTTTGAAGCAAAATGTTTGGAATTTTCGTCACAAAAAATCATCATAAAGGGGTTACAATACCTGTTGGAAAAAGAGTACCATTAATGTTATCTATTTTAACAACATTACGAAAAGCGGAACAAGAATACCCTTTTTACTGTTATTACTGGTCAGATTTGCAGGAACTACTTTATAAAAATGTCAAGAAAAGAACATTGTGATTGTGTATTATATGTATCGATGCCACTACATCATCATTGTGCATTTTGAAAGTGTCCTTGCTGGAACGTCGCAGACAGAACACCTAAAAGACAAAGGAATGTTTTCCTGAATTTTCTATTTTATTTATTAAAACTTCATTTATGAATTCCTGCTCACAGTTGTCCTTTAGTGAAAAGCCCCGCCGCCACGACAAGTTCTACCGGACATATCCATGATGTCAGTCATGTTTGGCATTGGACAAGCACTGCCCAAGATATCGATGATACTTATGATGTTTGGCAGTGGACAACCATTGGCGCAGAGGGAACTAATTTGTTAGATCGACTGCTTGGTGGAAAACTGTACCATTTCAAGAATTCGTTATAAACAATACCATTTCAAAAGTTTGTTGTAAAACATACCACTTCGATGAAGATCTATAAATGCGTTGCACTAAAGAATTTCTAATGATGAACAAGCAATTATTTAAATTATTACAAATTTAGTCGTTCGGGTAATTTATAATAATAAATAAAATACAACAATTTAAATTAACAAAATCAATAATTTATTAAAAATATTTAGTTCTCGGAGCGAGGTTGTGCTCAGGAGGAGAAGTAGGCAAATACTAAATGAAATATGGCTACTACTAAACCTAAGCGTCGCTTGGGAAAAGAGATAAAAGAAAACTTCCCAAAAAATATTACATGTTAGAAAAAGATGGAAAAGTGGTAAAGAGTGGGAATTGCAAGTTTAAACCTGCATATTTGCTATTAGCCTGTACGAACCGAATTTTATGATAGGGTCTCAGTGTAGCTATACACGTTGACCGTAAAGGGGAAGAAAAGTTTTGTACAGAACACTTTTAAGGAAAACTTAATTTACATTTAGAAAACTGTATAAGTTACAATTTATATTAATATTAATTTGAGCACAACCGAGAATTCAATATAAGAAACATAACAATATTTCATGTAGTGTGTTACATTATGTGTGTGTATGTGTGTTTATTTGTTTGTGTAAATTCAGTGTAATAAAAACTGTTATTAGATTACAGTCGCCACAGAAATTTTGAATTAATACATTGATAAGATGAACAAGAGTATTCTTAAGAAACCTCTTTTTAAAGTTACTAAAGTCACTAATCAAGCATTTCCGGGATCGCTGATTTCGAATCCAATGTCAGCTTTTAAAATTTTAAAATGGCGGATCCAATATGGCAGACAGATTTTTAAAAATCAATCAGATTCGTCTCAAATTTGTTACTCGGGAGTTTTCGGGGTCGCTGATTACTAATAAAATGTCAGATTTCGAAAATTCAAGAAGATGGATTAAATGCAGGGACAGTTACCAAACGTTTGTGTTGAGTTTGTGTTGTGTTCAGAACACAACACAATTCGAATATTGAAAATGTGTTGTGTTCTGAACACAAACTCAAGTGTCTAAAAATCATCAAAATTTTAATGGAATTTGATTTTGAATCGATATTGTAACTCTCTCAATTTTGGTTGAATTTTATTCTATGACCTATACGGATCGAAAGGTAATTTAATTGCCTTTCCAATGGCTCCTTATTCATTATATTTTGACAAACTAATTGTTCTACAGGTAAGTTAAAGTGACGTGGCACATAAAAAATGCCAAATTTTGAAGCTGCAGCAAAACTGCACGAAAAAATTAAAACTATGATTTTCTTAATGAAAAAACACATACTAATAGATAAAAAGATGTTTTATTCGATTGGCAAAAAAGGTTTTTAATTTGTAAACCTGTGAATTAGAAAGTATAACACTTTATAAAAAAATTATTGTCCAGTTAATCCAAAAAATTACTCATTTTTTATGTTCGAGTTGATTCAAAGGTGGTTTTGTTAACATATTTAGGGAACGATGACGTTCTGACAGTTGTAGTAAACGTTGTTCGTTTGAATGGATTAATCATTATTTTATAAGGTATCAATATAATATATTGACATTTTACGGCTTTTTGGGTTTTTTGTATAAGGATTGATAAAAATGTATTTAAAGGGGAGGTGTTTTATATTGGTAGGGGTTTATAATCATGAAATTAACTTTTCGGATGTTATTATTGTCACTTAGAATTAACATATTATACCCAAGTGTCACGCCGGAATTGATACGAAAAATTAAAAAAGACCTAAAAATTTAACGTTTTTTTAAACACTGTGTAATTTGTTTATTTATAAATTTACAATATATTTTGAAAAACAAATTATCTTTTCTTCATTACATTTCTATTAAGGGAGGACATCTATACATTATAGTTTTTTATAGAGCAGTCTGAAGTTATCTCCTTTCAGAAAAATCAACATTTGGCTAATGGGAACGGCTAAACTGCGATACGCCATCTGGTGGTGAAAATTGGAACTAGAGAGATCGGTCTGGTTTAAGGGAAAATACACGTGACAGGTGTAAATAACATATTAAATCGTTTTATATTTTAGGTTTAAAATAGAAAAAACTTCATAAAAAGTAAATAATAAATTGAAGAAATTAAATCGAATTTCGTCGGAGTAAGATTTACTCCCAAAACATCGAAAACCAATAATTTTTGCTCAGTTTTTGGGTGCAGCAGTAGAAAGTGCTGTATTCGTAAAATTGTAAAATAATATCATCAAAACATAAACAAAAATTTTTTTCTAAATATTTTGTGGCAATATTGTTGCTTTATCTATAATTAAATTATTTAGCGAATATTTTTTTTCGTTGGTCAATGTTTTAAAGTTCAACTTGGCCAAAGATTTCCAAGAGCTGGAGAATTAATGGTCAATTTCGAAAATAAATTGGGCATAAAAGAGTCGCATTTCACAAAAGATGATTATTCTTTTTTACTGAAGCAGGGAAGTTATTAAAAATTGTATTAAATCTGCTTAAATATAATTAAGGCTTTAAATTGTTACAGAATTACTATTTGTGATGCGCTCTCAAGAATTTTATAGGTTATGTTGACGACAGTTTTATCTTGATTAAAAGCATTAAAAGTTTCTTTTTGTTCCTGTAAAATCGAAATCAGTTTTTATTGAATATTTAGGGAATAATGAAGATTCAAACATTATTGGATTATCACGCATATTCGATGTTTGCAAACAGAATGCAATGAACTTTTGGTTGATTTTGATTTTTCCATTTGCAGTTTTATACAAAAGGTAACATGTCCGGCATTTTTTATAACCTTTCACCCTCTATAAAATTCGACTTAAATGTGTCGAATTGGTGAAAACCAATATTTCTGTTCAAAAAAGCTGCATTTTTTTATTTTCAATTAAAATTACACGTGTTTACTTTACATCTCGCCGGCCATACTGGTTTGTGACGTCACGACCACCGTTCCCAAAATTATACTACTATACCAATTTCTTCAGGGTGGTAAGGCAGATATAAAGTTGCTGAAGCTGTCTCCGCCAAGTGGTCATAGAGGGCAGCAGTAGGTAGAAAATAAAATGCGTGTGGGAGCTGGGAGGGTATGGAAAGGAAACAAGAGGTGTATGAAGGCTGTGAGGAGCTATCGATGAAGTGATAGAACTGTAGAACAAATTCATGCGTTATAATACTTCATTTCTGTCTATAGCGTCTGCAAAATTCCATTCATCCAGACTATGAATGCTAACTCCCCATGGAAAAAATAACTCGCGCGGGTGTTGAATGAAGGGAGTTAGAAATTAACTCTCTTTTGGAGTTGATTTTTAACTCGAAAAATTTAACTCCCAACTTCCGAGTCCGTTAACTCCCTAAATTTTTTACAGTGTATGAATAAACGTTCTCTCTAAATCTGAATTAGTGTAAAGTCGCCCACTAATTAAAATTATTAATGCGATTCTTAATAATTTTCTTCTATAACATAATACAATTTTTAAATTTTTTTCAATTATACCTAAAATTAATAAATAATATATGTTAGATCTTGTAAATTTTTAAAATAATCGTGTCTATTAAAAATTATAATTAAATATTTCAGTATATAATGTATCCCTTCGTGAAATTTTCTTAAAATTGAATTGAAATGATGAAAATAATTTTCTAATTTTTATAAAAAATAATTTAATATTTTAGAACTTACATTTTTTAAAAATAATTGAATTTTTAAAATAAATTTTATCGACAGTT